GGTCACTAGCACGCCTGCAAGGCATCAGCTCATAATTGCAGGCGACATGAATGCCACCCTGCATCCTCAGCGGCCCCATGTGGGTCCTGCTGCTCCCGACCCAGCGTCCCATAACAATTCAGACAGAGAATTCCAAACCCTCCTTAGGGAATGCAACCTTTGTGCACTGAATTCTTGGCACGCGAGGCCGGCACACACATTTGTCTCCCCCACGGTCAAAAGTCAAATTGATTATGTGATCCTACGATGCACTGATGCGAGCCACAAAGCTAAGCTAGCGGCCCCATTGCATGAGTTCCCTGTGGGAGCTTACAGGCTCACAAACCATAGACCGGTGGTAGCCACTGTCCCGATGCTTCCCATGAGCTTCCGCCCCCGTTGTCAGAAGCCAGAACATAAATTTCAAGCCTCGGCTCTCCAGCATGCGGTGGCACATAATACCCCGGAAGCCCAGCTCCTGCAACAGGCTGTGCAACGCCGGCTCGGGCACCTGTCTGCTCCGGAGGCCCTCGGGATTGAACACGACAGGATTAATGCCATCCTTCTCGAAGAAACCTGCGAAATCTTCCCACCCTGCAAACCAGTAGACGGCAGAGTCAGTGCCAATCCGTCTTTCCGTGCATCCGCGCGCGATACCTGGCAATTGCACCGTCGTCTTCGGCAGTCTGGTCTGCCCTCCCTTAAAAACATTTGGTCTAGATGGCGACTCTTTGCAGCCTTCACGAAAGCCTCTGCACAACTCCGGCAGCAGAGTAAAGCACTCAAACGCCAGTTCTTGGACGACCAATTATGGCAGGCAGAGACGGCAGCCAGCAAGGGCGATCTCCGAGGCCTGTTCCTGGTCGCAAGGCGACTGGGACCGCGCACGGCAGCAGGGGTTTCGAGGCTCCAAGACTCAGAGGGCAGACTACTGGATAGTACCGCTGAAATGCAGGCCATCATCAAGCACAGCCAAGCACTCTTCGCTGCAACCCCAGACACGCAGCCCTGGCATGCCAAAACAGGGGATCTCGGCTTTACTGCTGATAACCTCCAGGCGGAGCTGGACCGGCTCAACATCCGCAAAGCCGTGCCAAGGCACATAGCCCCCAATGCAGTGTGGAGGCTCTGCTCAGCAGACGTGAGCCACCGCCTAGGTCCGTGCTTCGAAGCTCACTTCGCTCCGGAATCCACGGCTCTACTCCAGGGCGACATGCAGGACGCACACGTGTGCTGGATCACTAAACCTTCTAAGCCCCCCACCTTTATGACTGCCCTAAGACCGATAGGGTTAATGCCACCGTGTGCTAAATCCTTCGCGGGCGTTGTTGCTAAACAAATCCTTTTGCATCTTCGGCCACACTTGGATCACCTCCCCCAATTTGCATACTGCGATGGTAGAGGCTGTGGGGATGCTATACTGAGGGTTCACCAGCACTTCGAAGAGATTGAGCTTCTGATGCAAAGCCAGGTTCAGACCAGATTTAAGATGCATCAAAATGTCGTGCCGCTCACCTGCTACGGCGGGGCTTGCTTCTCTCTGGATCTCACGAGTGCTTTTGATATGGTGAGCAGAGACCTTTTGATCCAATCACTCGTCGACCACCGGGTTCCAGGTGTACTGATCAATGCTGTGCAACAATTACACAGAGGAGCGAGGTATGTCTTTCGCAACCAAACCCAGACAGGCAGCGTCATCACCTCAAACGGTATCAAACAAGGATGCAGGGCTGCTCCGACCCTTTGGGTCAGCCTCACCATCCAAATTCTTGAGCACCTTATCAGGTTTCGCAGTCTTAGCTGGGTACAGAAAATCCTCTCCCTTTTTGCTGATGATATCTGTGGATGTTGGGATATACGTAGCCCCGAAGACTTCAGGCGAGTGCTCGCTGACCTTTCCCTGCTGATTGAAACCCTCGAGCTGTTTCAGCTCAAGATCAATCTTAAGAAAACGGCCCTTCTCCTGCATCTGAAAGGAAAAGCCGCTCGGAAATTACTGGCGAAGCACACCATCATCAAGGCGGGGGAAACCTTCCTGATTCTTGAAGTCGGGGGATCTGAACGTCTTATCCGCATCAGAGACTCTCACACATATCTAGGCACCATCATTGCATATCAGGGACGAAAGGACCTCAACCTCAGCCACCGGATTTCGGCAGCCCAGGCCAGGTACCAGCAAATCCGGAAAGTCTTGAATGGGAAAGGCCCTATCAGCACTAGGCACCGATTACGCCTTTGGCAGGCGTGCATTCCTCCCTGTCTTCTCTACTCCTTGGAAGCCACCGGATGCACAGTGACAGGCCTACAACGCCTTAAGACCTTAACCACCCGACACCTACGAGCCATCCTGAGGCTGCCTGCACATCTCACCAGGACTCCCACCTCAGAGGTGTGGGCCCAGGCGAGCTTGCCTCCTCCAGAAGCTTCGCTGCTTTCGCGACTCCGTCACCTGTGTCAGCGCAGGGACCCTGCCGTGGCACCATATGGCCCAGACCTTGTCTCCAACGATGTTGTAGTCTCGCAGCTTACTTCACTCCTTGGACGGCTCGAAGGTCAGATCAAGGCCATGCAGACGCAGGCGCTACAGGCGGAGCAGGAGCTCTGCGATCCCAGCCTCTTTGCATGTCAACACTGTGATCAAACGTTCCCGACTGCCCATGCTAGAGTCATCCACCACTCTATCAAGCACCCAGATCTGGAGCCCCCTGAGGATACGCGCCAAAGACCTGTCTTCTCAGCTCCTGACCACGCTGTCGGAGGGCTTCCTACATGCAAGCTTTGTGGCCGTGATTTTCCAAAGTGGCAGCAACTGAAACTGCATATCACCAATGGATCCTGCCCTCAATTAGGTGGTTCCAGTCACATCCTCAGCCCTGTCCCGGATTCTAACTTAGCGATGGCCCAGCCTGCCAGACTTTCAATAGCTGACACAGAGGGCAATGTGCCTACTGTCGACTCTTCTACAGCCGGACCGGAGACCGCGCCAAAAGAGGACACAGACATACCACTCATCAAGCAGAGCAGTTTCCTTGACAACTTGCATAACTGGGAGAAGTTCTTGGATGATCGCCACTCCAGACATCGGCTCAGGAGCCATTGTGTCATCTGTGGCATGTGGATCGCTGATACAAAGCACATCAAACAGCACTTTAGGCGCACGCACCTGCAAGACTTTCCCAATGCCCTCTCGGATGCCCACAAGCTTTGCCTCCCCTTCAAAGGCCACTTCACGCGTAATCGCAGTTGCAGATACTGTGGAAGCAACGTAGGGGCTCCTTGCAGGCACGTCGCACAGTGCTCGGTCCTGCATCAACTCTGTCTTGCAGTAGCCGTGAGCCGGACTGAACAACAGTGCAAAGATGACAGACTTGGAGGCGGAGATCTTTGCTCACTGCATGCCCTCGGGGGCTCAGGCACTTCTTCAGCTTCCGGACGGCCAAAACCTGCCCAACAAGAGGCAGCGACCGGAACAGGGGAAGCAGTTCGGTCGGATGATGGGACGTCAGGGCTTCAGACAACCTCAGCCATCCTACTCGGCCAATCCGTTCCAGCAGCCTCACGCAGCCTCAGTGCCTTTTGGGGCCCAGCCACCACAGGACGGCCATCTTCGCCTGTTGAGCAAGATTGTCCTGAAACAGGAGGAACAGCTTTCGCTTCTCCGCAAAGACACACAGTTCGTCCTGTTTATGCGGCAGGACGACAAGTCGCTTCTGCCGGCTTTGATGGCAGCCTCGAAAGAGTGGAAGAGCAAGCAGGATGCGGGCGAGAACCTTCCATCATCCCAGAGAACCGTCTTGTTGAATTGTCTCCTTCGGGAGCTTCTGGCTCGTGTGCAGAGGGTCGTGGCAACAGCTTCCGGCCGGGAGTCACTCAAGAAAGCCGAGTGGCTGAAGGACGAGAATCTATGGTCCTATCTCCGATGGGCCCCGAAGCAAAAACGCCTCGTGGTCGACGAAAACAAGGAGCCGCTTCTGCACGACGAGGCCGTGCGCATTCTGTCCGAACTCCAGAAGTCCATCACGGGGGACATAGTGACAAAATTCAACAGTACGATCAATCTGGCAAGACTGGAAGAAGAGGGCTCCCCCATCTCGCGATCTCGTTACGTGGTTCGGGGGCAACGGAGGTCCACGAGCAGCTCTGCAAACTGGTGGGATCATCGATCACTCAACTTGCAGCCTTCAACATGAAGAAAGACGATCTCCTTCGGACGCCACAGGCGAAGCAGCTGGCTCAGCTGACATACGGCGGAGGCCTGCACTTTCTTCACCCCCGTGTACGAGGGAGGCACAAGGCACCTCTAGACTTCCTGATCCTGCTTTGCCCCGTTTCTCCCTCCTTAACCCGGGTAATCACTGCTACATGAATGCTTGTATGTACTGCCTCGCGGTCCTAGAGCGATGCTCTCAGCACAAAGCACTACCAGCCTCATTTGCCAGCACATGTGACAGGCCACTGAGTGCCTTCAAAGCCGCGGGGTTTGGCCTCCTGGGGTGGCGGAGGCCACACGACCAGCATGATGCAGCAGAGTTCTTCGACTTTCTTGTGCCCAAATGGTGCCCCTTCCTTGCCTCTCACTCCTGGGAAGCGCGTAGGCAGCATCCTGATACAGGCGGGGTGCAGTGCACAGATGGTGCCAATCTTGCCAGGTGCCTGAACCTGAGCAATCTTGCACTTGATTCCCCGGACATACAACGGCTCATAACCAGGTGGCATCTTCAGGAAGCACTTCATGCAATGAACAGTGCGGTTCCCTGGCTCTTCATCCAGCTTCCTCGTAGCAGTGCTGCTGCAGGAAGACTTGTAGCAAAGAATAATCATCCAATCATCTTTGCTCAGGAGCTCTGGATGCCGGTTTTTGTCACGAATGACACATCTCAGGTACAGTGGCAGCCTTATCGTTTGCAAGCCAGCGTGATACATCATGGGCTCTGGCTCACCTCAGGACACTACAATGTTCTGAGATTCTCGGGGACCCACGGTCATCACCACGTGCTTGATGACGCCAAAACAGTGACGCATGCATCAGCAGACTTCATGGATCTTGCTTCTAGGAATGCCTACATACTAGTCTACACGCCAACAGCCGCTCACCCAGTGCAGCACCTCCCAGCTCAAGCTTGTGATCGGCCCCATGTCGGACCAGAACAACATCTTCTTGCTCCGCAAGTACGGCGACAACTGGACTGCGGCTCACTTGAGTCTGATGGAATTTCAGCTCAAAGAGCTCGAGGCGCAGATGATGGTGATGCAACGGCATGTGGACAACATCCAGGCTCAGATGCACTCTCTTCAGCTGCTGGTGAATCGCCACAGTTACTTGTACGGCAATCGAGTGATCAACAAGGCTCGCATCGTGAAGATTCGGTATCTCGACACCCTAGATGACTAAGCCATCGGGTAGTAACTCAGGCGAGTGGTGCAAAGCACCGAAGGGCGCCACGGCGCCGTGTTCCCTTATGCCTTATGGGCATTCGTGCCAGCCATACCATTGGCCGGTACTGACAATAGCTCAGTACTGTATCGGCACTCGCTAGCAAGACACGGGACGCATCTTGCTGCGGTGGAAGAAGATCTATATTTATATATCCTGCATTACCTGAAGGATTCTTAACTATGGGAATTATGGCATATTCCTTGTTATGTATCATCAACCGTATACTTAGAGGGCTTCCGGGCTTCAGGATTTCACGCTTCAGGGCTCGAGGGTTGCACTGCCCTGGCTTGTTGCATCAGGATTTCGGTATGGAGTGCATTCGGGTTTATCATGAGACTTCCCTGCACTTGAGATCCTAACCTCTCTAAACAAATGTTCCGGTTAGATTTGTTCAGGATTCGTGGTTTGAGGGTTGCAAGGTTAGGAGTTGAGCCTCAGTTCGATGTGTATAGCATTGGTAAGATAGGGTTTGCGGTTCTATTAGGGTTATTCAAGCCCAGGGGATCCATAAGTTGTGATAGGCTCTTACAAAGACTTCTTGTAACTCTGCGATCTAACTTAACGAGAGGCCGGTATTCCTTGATTGCAGGATACGGCTGACATTATGGAATTCCTTCGTACATGTGCAGGGATGCTCAGCTTCGGCGATATTGAAGTTTGTGCAAAAACCTTAAACCCCAAACCCTTCTGGAGCCCTTGCATAGATTAATAGTTTGTTCCGAAGGCTCAAGAATCGAACATGGGAGTTGAACTCGTTCCGAGTTGCAGCATGTGCGCCTTTGGGTTCGGATTGCAGGTCAAGGTTACTATAGGGGCTTAAACAATTACCTATACTGTTTTGGGGGTTCCTAACCCTATTGTAGCTATTAAGGCCCCTATATCAGGGTTGTGGCTGTGGAGTTGAGTGACCCTACCAAACGTCCCTCCTTGCTCGCTTGAATGCTGAACCTCAACCTCGAACCTCTCCAGCTCGGCTGCTGAGGCCCCACTTGCCCTGGGCTCCCATCGTCGACCTCGACTTTCAAGGCAGTCTATGGGGCCCTGAACCCCTGAATCCGAACCCCTGAACCCTGAGAGCAAATCCTCCTTGCGACCAGGGGAGCTGGACTTTGCTGCGGGTCCCCGCCCCAGAAGTCTGGGTATAGGGTTTGAGTTTAGGGAACAGGGTTCAGGTCGTATTGTGCCCCAAAGCCCCTGAAGCCCTAAACCCTTAAAGCCCCAAAGCCCTTGAACCCTGAAGCCCTAAGCCCTACAGCCCCAAACTCATGGCCTGCAAAGAACAGAATGGTTTACCCTAAACCCTAGTGCCCAAAACCGCAGGCCCCGTAAGACTTAAAAGATCCTGAGCCCTAAAACCCCAAAAGAATTTGGGTTTAGGATTTTAGGGGTTTTGGGGTTAGGGTTTAAGGTATTTGGGGTTTAGGGTTTCAGGGTTTAGGGTTTCAGGGTTAGGGTTTTGGGTTTTGGGTTCAAAAGGGTCTAGGGCTCGGGGATAGAAGTGCGCCAAAGCCGTGAACCTGAGCCATAAAAACTCTGCCGCTTAGACTGGACCCAAGGTTCAGGGTCTAGAGTTAAAGCCATAAAATACCTGCCACTTAGACTGAGGCCAAGCATTACCGCCAAGAAGCCCTTGGGTGTAGACAATCAAGCTAAAACTAAGTCTCATAAAACACCGCCTTCCTGAGAAACAGCCGAAAACCCACCCCGCATAAACCCAGAACCCCTCAGCCTTACGTGGAAAACCCAAACCCTAAACCCAAAAACTGGAGGGTTCCCGCAGACAGGCAAGTGATGGCGAACTCGAGTCCCAGAGATCCCAATACCCCATAATTAAGGAATAACCTTAAATCATAATATGAAGGCCCTTATAATTTAAGGTATCTTCCTTAATGAAGGGTTATTGGGTTCTCTGGGGTCAGCAAGTGTTTCGCTTGGGGGATGAGTCTTAAGAGACGACCTGTTCAGTTTGTTGTTCCTGTTGCAGCATTGCTGCCAATCCCTGAGAGTCCCGGGGCACCGTCATCATTACCGCCACCATCTCCATCTCAAACACAAGTCACAAGACCACCATTAGTGCCACCGTTACTGCTGGCGGTGGCCACCACGACCGCCACAGCACCATCGCCATCAGCATGAGCATCAGCATCGCCATCAGCTACATTTCGAAGTCTCAGGTTTGCACTGATCCAGCTTCAGTCGAATACGTGGAAGTCTGGCTGGTCCCACTTCGACAAAGGCTCATCGCCGCTATGCCCCTTCGGCTACTCGTCACATCGCGATGCTCCGAAGTGGACAACATCCCAAATCCAAGCGAGCGTGACACTGAAGAGGAAGGTATCCCAACCGTTGGCCGCGGTGACTCAGGGTGACACCTTGATGTACTACCCAGACCCCCAAAAGTGAGTAAAATAATGGCCCAACACCTTTAAAAGGCCATTATTCTACATACTTTTTGGGTCCAGAGTCGTCCGTGGCGTTCTTGCCGTCCGGGTTCGGGACTGCCCGAAGTCTGTTCAAGGCAGACTTCAGGATGCGGAAGGGCCTGTGAAGGAACTGGAAGATGAGCAGGCCCCCAGAGAACCCAATAACCTTTCATTAAGGAAGATACCTTAAATTATAGGGGCCGTCATATTATGATTTAAGGTATATTCCTTAATTAAGGGGTATTGGGATCTCTGGGCCACAGTGAAGAAGAAGATCCATGACCTAGAGTCCCTCAAGGCTATGCCGGTAGAGTCATGCGCCTCAAGCCGGAATCGGATAACCCTAAACGCGGATCCCTAAACCCTGAACCCAAAACCCTGAGCCCTAAACCCGAAACCCTCAAAGGCTGAGAAGCGCCTGAAGCCTTCGGCTAGCATCGTGCCATCCGTCAACGACCCACGCCCATGAAATCATGGCTCGACAGCTGTCGTACAAGCTGCCTGAAGTTTTTGTTGGAACCACCATCATCATCATCATCATCATCACGATCATCATCATCATCACGATCATCATCGCCATGACCCTCATCCCGAGCACAAGTCACAAGACCATCATCATCACCAGCGCGAGCGAAACAACCACCGTTGCCGCCGGTGGCGGCCACCACGACCGCCGCAGCACCATTGCCATCACCATGAGCATGAGAACAGCTTCATCGCCGTCATTATCATCACCATCATCATCATCATCGTCACCACCATCATTATCACAATGGTTTTATCCTGGTCATCACAGCTGCATCTTTCCTCTGCAATTGCGAGGATCGGGGCTGGCGTCCCTGCCTCTGCATTCCTACGAAGGCATGAACTCGAAGCTGCAGATGAGGAGCGGTTGGGGTATAAGATAGGAGCGTGAATAAGTAACAATATAGTAATTAGAGTAATATAAGATAATAGCAGTAATAATCAGCTCTTCGACTCTCGGGTTACGAGTTTGGCTCCCATTGGGGTTGTTCAATGTTAGGCCCTTGTTTGAAATCCCGCGCTACTTCCTGGTCCCCAGCGCCCTCCACGGTGGTCTTCTCTTTGGGGCACAGCACAGATCTTGCCCTGAATACCTGCATGCGTAAAGGTCCCTCCGAAAGCTCGCCGCCTAATGCCCGTGGAATCTGGAAGGACCATCACCTCTGGGTTCAACCGCGATGAATCTTGGAACGCATAGTACAGGAGCCTTAAGCAAAACAGAATAGGGTTCCGTTAAACCTGCTATAAGGATCCCCTTGAATAAATGGACCGGTATGTACAGTCATCTTAAGGTAAAAGCCAGAAAGTTGGAATATGATGATCCTAACCCTTCTATGGTAAATTATAGGGTATCCTACCATGAAACCATATTCCAACTTTCTGGAGTTCCCTTTAGCTCTTAAACCCTGAACCCACAGGCCCAAGCACTAAGTCTAAGACTTCATACGGAACCGCATAGTGAAGCACACCTCGACCCGAGCTTTGCAGGGCATACCGTCGGGAGAGCTGCACAGCCCCAATATCAATATATATATATAGATATATATATATATATATGTCACATTGAAAGGGGGGTTCAGAAATTTTGGGTGATATCCAGGAGAAACCCTAAAACCCTAAACCCTAAGCCCGAAACCCGGACCATCAAAATATGCATGGCTCCAGAATCTCATGGTTCGAAGCGCACCCACTCCTCCCCATTGCGGCAAAACAAAAGGGCACCCAACACAGAGGCCTTAATAACTATTTTGGGGGTTCCGTATTGTAATCATAGTATAATGGGCCGCAAAAACCTGTTCTAACTATTAGAGCCCCTATACGATACCCCTACAGCAACCCTTCTAGAACCCTTTTAAGGATCCCTTTAAAGGATTCCTACTCTCATTAATTATTCAGGTCCCTATACCAAACCCCGAAGCTGCAATCCCAAAGCCGAAAACCTAAACCCGACTCCTTGAAACCCTAGAGCCTAAACCCTAACTCCCAAAGCCTGAGCCCTAAACCATGAACCCTAGAAGCCCGCCTAGCTCAGTCGGCAGAGCGTAGGCCCCTAACCTTGTGGTCGTGGGTTCGACCCCCACGGTGGGTATTCCTCAAGACAAAAACCCTGAGCCCAAATCCTTCAAAGCCCCAGACCATAAACTTTACGCCGCGGAGCCCAAAGCCCAGGCTTTTGAGCCTGGAGCTTTGAGGACAGTATGTGTTATAGAGTAGTACTTAAAAGGTCATGGGACTTAGTAACTAGGGTTATAATTAAGGTAACTATACTTATAATTACTTATAACCCCATGAAGGTAATTATAACCTTACTTACTAAGTCCCATGATCCGCCAAGTGCGATATATTCTGGTCTGGTACTGTATATACTATTTTGATTTATATTGCATTGTAGTAAGATATGGCATGTAATAGTCTGCTTGTTTTTGCTGTAACCTACGCGAGTATATCATAGTAAACTATCGCATTTCATAGTACACCATGGTGCATTAAAGCATGAGCGACAGGAAGGGAGCCTCTTCTACTTGCTCTTGCCGAACTTCTTCTCTGGCATTGAGACCAAAAACGGCCTCTCCGATGCTGACTATCGCACTTCGGCCGAATGGCGGTTCGGGGTTTGGGTTTTGGGGAGTTGCCGAGAGCAAACCGCCCGACATAGAACCCTGAATAGTGCGATCCGCATTAAAACGCCTGGAAGGTTTCAAGAAGCCCCAAGTACATGTGTCATCCGTCATGCCACGCGGCATGGTGCGCTAGAACCCTAAACCCGAAACCATAATGCCAAAAGCCTAGTGGTTTAAAACAAAATTACTTAAGCTGCAGGGTCTAGTCGTCGTTTACATTGTTGAGGCGGCTGTATCAGAGTGTAAGACCGTCTGAAGCCTTCTGCAAGCACGGCAGCACAGGGAAGCTGCTGAAGTCCATGGCGTGTCCAGATTGGGGGCCGGCAGCTTATCGGAAAACAGAGAGGGCTCCTTCAGTGTTCGGGGAGCGAAGCTATACACGAATACAGACAGTCGAAACAGGAGTCGGGAAGTGTGTCTGTCTGTCCGTGCGTCTGTCTTTTTGTCTATGCATCCATATGTCTGTTTTTCTACATAGGCATGTGCTCATATGTACACCTTACATTGTGAAGGGTGGGTTTCTAGCATGGTTGAAAGTAGGTTCCTTGATGAAGGTGTGTTGGGCCATCTTTATGTGGAAAGTTCAGGGGTCTTGAGGTTTGAAGGTTTCACTTCAAACTCTGAACCGTTCACGTCCAGAGTCTGTTAGGTTTCGGGTTGGCAATTTGGGGTCATGTAAAGGAACCCCTCTAAGGCCTAAGTCTATTCCATATAGCGACATGGAGCATACGGGACCATCCGAAAGCCTAAATCTGAATCTAAATCCTACACCCCAAATCCGAAACCTGAAACTTCCGATCCTCAACAACCAGCCCGAAACACTTCACCACCGGGGCCCTTAAGACTTGAGTAGGATTGTGGGGTACACTATATGCTATACTATAAATACTTCCGTTCAGGAACCCGAAGACACAGGAGCATTGAGGCTCCTAGTTGCCAAGAAGGACCAGCAGGCCCCATACACTACGCCTCGTCGGAAGAAGAAGAACGCGAGAGTTCCAAAGCTCGAGCCGAAAGTCACGTCAAGGGGAGATAGCCGAAGGGTTTGGTGGGGGCTTCGCTTTTTTCAGACAGGGTTCTATATGGTCTGGCACGGGTGGTATGTGGGTGTTACAGGGTTCATAGGGTATTCGTCCTATTGTTTCCTTATAGTCCCTATCCCAAGAGACCCGAGGCACCTGCATTAAGCAACAATACCTTGCTAAACGCTACAGGTGTCGCTTCCCAAATGCAGCTCCACTGGTCCCGCAATGCGTAGTGTTTTTTCAGTTGTGTTTTCCAGCTTCCAACCGCCAAACCGTTGGATTTTTCACAGCTGCTCAAAGCCTCTAGAAACATCTAACAGTTTGAAAGACCTGCTAAAGGCAGCAAAGATGAATTGTATAAGAAATGTCGAGGCCGTTCCCTAAAATTCGAAGCTCAAGATCCAAAACCCAAGCCACAACGCCAAACTCCGTAGCTTAAGAGGCCAAAACCCTCGACCCTCAACCCTGCGCAGGCCTGCACAAAGCCTGGATGCGAGCGCTGGCCGCAAGTGGATTGCGGTAGGGCTTATAGAGGAGTTTCGGGTTGAAGGTTGAGGGTTCATAGGTGGTTGTAAGGTGAGGTTACACTTACGGTTCCTTAGCTAATCTGATAATTTCCATAGAAACGTTTATTCCGTTTCCAAAGGGCGTAAGGAAGCATGGGCGGTTCAGCCCTACCCCAAACCCTAAACCCTAAACCCTACAACCGAGACCTCAGACACCAAACTCGGAACCCAAAGCCGCAAAGCTTCACCAAAAACCGTACAAGTACGTCGTATGGGTTTGTGGATGATGGTTTGTGTTCCCATACCATAATCCCATAAACCCTAATCCATGGTTTATGGGATTATGGTCTATCGTATGGGTGCAGTGTTTGGGTCCGACGTTATCATCTCAGGCTTGGGTTTGAGTTTTGGGGGTCTGCGCTTTTTAAGGAGTCTAGGTTTTATGGATTTAGGGTTTCAGGGTTTAGGGTTTAGGGTTTAGGGATTTAGGGTTTAGGGATTTAGGGTTTAGGGTTTAGGGATTTAGGGTTTTAGGGTTTCGGCGGTCGAGACTTGTTTGATGGCTTCGAGCTTTGGGTGTCTCGAGTGCTGGGCACCAGGCCTGGGCCGAGGTGGGCGAAGTGCTACTTAGGGTTTGGGGGCTTAGGGTATTAGGGTCTTGGGGTTTCGGGTATTAGGGTTTAGGGGTTTAGGGTATTGGGGTTTAGGGTCTTAGGGTTTAGGGTTCAGTAACTGCGGCAGACAGACCCCCTCAATGAGCGGCTGAACAAGAGTGGTTTTGTGAGACATATTACTGCGAAGGAGAGTGAGCTCATAGAGGAGAAGATGCTTAGTTAAACCCGAAAACCCCAAAACCCTTAAACCCCCCAAACCCCAAAACCACAAAACCCTTAAAACCACCCAAAAAACACCAAAACCAGCAAAACCCCTTTAAAACCACCAAGACCCTTAAAACCCCTCCAAAACCTTTAAAAGCCCTTAAACCCCAAAACCCTTAAACCCCCAAAACCCCCAAACCCTTAAAAACCACTCAGACTCAAAACCCCTGAACCCCTTAAGCCCCCCTAAACCCCTAAGCCCCCGAAAGAAGAGGGCTTCGCATCGGAAGGTTGAGCCGGCCGAGTGCCAGGAGCGCGTGGACACCGCAGTGACGCTGGTCTGCACCTGAAAGCCGTCGGTTGGATCCTTAAAGGGCTCCTGTAAGGGCTTCTTTAGGGGCTCCTTTAAGGGCTCCTCTAAGGGCTCCTGAAAGGGCTCCTTTAGGGGTTCCTGAAAGGCTTCCTTTAAAGGGCTCCTTAAACGATTCCTTTGAGGGTTCCAAAAAGGGTTCCTTCAAGGTTTCCTTTAAGGGCTCCTTTAAGGGTTCCTTTCAGGGTCCTATAAGGGGAAGTACGAGGTTTTAGGTTTTAGAGCGCAAGACTGATCGTTTAGGGTTTGAGGGTTTGGCGCTGAGGCTTTAGGGCCCGTAGGATTCCTGCTTCAGGATGCCTTGTGGTGCTTTGGAATGTAGGGTTTTGGGGCTTCAGTGCTTAGTGTGTAGGGTAGTTGAGTAAGATTTGTGAAAGTCTCACTGAATTGCTAGGTTTGTCACCGACACAAACTTAGACTTCTGGATACCCTAAGCTTAAACCGTAAACCCCTATATAATCCCTACACTCTGACTAGGCATGCACATCATGCGGATTGGAAAAAGTCATTCACAACACTCCCTATATGGTGTTGTTCATGCATCTTTTCAGGTCCCTTGGTTTTTGTAGGGTCGGGCTTGGGCTTGGGTCCACGGAATGGGTCCCAAATCCCTGCATCACAGCTCAAGCTCAAACCGTATCGTGCCAATATGGCTCATGTACATTATTCAGGATTATAAGTAAGATATGCAGTTACTTTACTTATAACTGTAACTGTAAGTTACTTATCACCTTACTTCGAATCGTCCGCGTACCTCCACGCCTGCGAAGCCCAACCCCAGAACCTAACTCCGGAAATACAACCTAAAATCGTATGCAAAGGAAGGCCTACCAGTGGGAGCCCTCGGTCTCTGCGCTGCGGGGCCGCTGCTGCTCCACGGACCCGAACGCCCCGAGCTGCAATGATTCGTCTTTGCGAGCTTCGGTTAGTTAAAACGGTTATTTCCACTCTTACTACTACTGGTGCTCCTGCTCCTGCTGCTACCCCTCCTGCTGCTGCTGCTGCTGCTACTACTGCTGCTGCTGCTCCTGCTACTGCTCCTGCTTCTAGCCAAAAAGACCTATATTCATACTGTCACAATTGCTAGCATCACTACGACCACGATCGACGACGGCCACTACTACAATGACTACACCACAATCCCTAGCCAACAGAAACCGCCCAGCAGCACCAAGATTCTTCGCGTCCAGCGCATGCTCACTGACATGTTGAGACTTGGCTGCACAAGCTTTTTCCCCTAAGCCCTATGAACCCTAAAGTCTAAGCCCTGAGCCCTATGAACCATATTTGTACCCTTAGCCTTAAACTTTCCTTCATTTCGCACTTTGGTGTTTTTTTCTTTTACTCCCTCCTGTGGTCCGCTGGTCTTCTACCCTGTATGTCAGGCCAGGCGGTTCCCCAAACCCGGACCTCAGAATCGAGTCCATTTCGGCGGCGTTGGAAGTCGAAAATCCAAGAAATACAAGGGGGCTCCGGAAGACGAGCGGGTAGTGCAAACTCGACAATTTTGGTGTTGTTTTGAGATGTGCTTCCATTTCGGCGGCCCTGGAAGCCGGAAATCCAAGAAATACAAGGGGCCTTGGATATGGCTTCCGGAAAAGTCTCTTGCCGGCTTTGAAGAGGTTTTCAATCGCAGGTCTTTTGGGGATGTGACAAGACTTTGTAAGGCCTTTTCCTGGGGACACACTCCCAACCATGCCCAGAACCGAACACGGTACGGGGTTTGGGCAGTTCGAGGTTAGATTTTAGAGTTTAGGTTTAAGACTTTGGGTTTAGGGCTGAGACGTATCGTTGGACTTCCACCAGCCAGGATCGATTTGGGATAATTCTTATTTTCCCTTATTGTTGAAGATCGAGCCCTAAGCCCTAATTAGACATAATGTTGGGGACCGCTGAAGTCGCCACCGAGGTTTGTGTGTCCAAACTTCCGATTCCTGCAGCAGATGCACAATCATTCCGATGCGACAATTCGGACTTACCAGCGCCCTGGCGCATGAAGGCCCTAGATGTGCTTTAGCTGTAGGGGATGATCGCGGCTGTTCGAGCTCCAGTACAGCGGTAGCACACGCTGTGGTGCACAAGAATTTTAATAGAAACGGGTCGATTGTAGTCTCAAGGCAGCTAACTTTAGGCCAGAGTTCCTCAGACCTTCTGAGCCGTTGATAATGTCACATACATCCCCTACACTAAACCCCAACCCTGAAGCCCCAAACCTGGACCGTAAAGCTGCGAAAATCCGTACTCGCACCCTAAGCCCTCAACCAAGGACTCCCTAGACTCTAAAGCGAAAACCTGAACCCGAAGCCCGAAACTGGGTTCTTGCTAAAGGATTGAATTTAAGTTACCATAGTGCGGATCTATGGTAAATAATATGGTTTCCTTTTTGTGGTAAAATAAGTCTCTTAACGAGAACCCAGAACAGACCCAACCAGGTTTGCCGCTGATGACGAAGTTCCTGCCTGGCTTCACCGGCAGTGGTTGCGGTTTCTTAAGCCCAGGGGTACCTGATGTGGGGCCGTTTCGTGTATTTTGGGCTCTATTGGTTCTCGTTCATACCAGGGCACCTTCGCGGTGGTCCTGTGATTCTGGGCACTTGTTCAGGATTTAACTTAAGTTACCACAATCGGGATCTATGGTACATACAATGGTTTCCTTATTATGTAACTTACCTTAAATCCCTCAAGAAGAACCCCGGATCAGGATGCTCTTCGTTTGGGTTTGTGCTCCGCCCCCTTATTTTCTGGAGCAAAGGGGTTTCGAACCCCGAGCTGTAGTCCTCTAAACTCGAAACCCCGTGCCGCAGTTTTTTAAACAAAAGCCGCAAGCCGTAAGACCTAAACCATGGAGCGTAAGACGTAGATCAAAATGCAACCCTAAACCTCAAACCCTACCAGGTGCTTTTGGGCAGCAAGACATCCTAATGTCTTCAAGCAAAGCTTTAATTGTAGCAAAGATTCTCAACCCTACACCCCTAACCCCTACACCCTAAACCCTCAGAGACCCGCTTGTTTGCCAGACGGGAAGCATTAGGCCATAGACCAGACCTTGAGCTTGACAATAGGTCTGCCATGGGTTGAACGCAAACGCCAACCTCTTGAACACGACACAATGCAGGGGCCTTATGCAACACCTTCTCAAACCTTACACGACATCCCTGTTACAAACCAAAAGAAACTCCTAAACCCTCAATCCTAAACCCCATAGACCCTAAGGCTCTGAACCCAAAGCCCAAAACCCAAACCCCCTAAACCCTAAACCTCTGAACCCAAAGCCCAAGCCCCTAAACCCTAAACCTCTGAACCCAAAACCAAACCCCCCCAAGCCCAAAACCTCTGAACCCAAAACCCAAACCCCCTAAACCCTAAACCCCACAGCCCTAAACCCTAAACCCCCTAATTGTGGTCTTCCAGAGGAGCCCCCGTTTTTGAAGGGGCCCCCGGGGGTTTGCCGCGCCAGGTTGCCGCCCTTGAGATCCTCGCTGGGTGCCTTCCACTTCTCCGAGCTCTTTTTCGTCATGGGCGACAAGGAGCTGGATGGTTTAGGGGCTTGGGGTTTAGGGTTTGGGGTTTGGGGTTTAACTAGGGTTTATTGTTCATGGTTTAGGGTTCAGGGTTCAGGGTTTAGGGTATAGGGTTTAGGGTTCAAGGCTTAGGGTTCAGGGTTCAGGGCTTAGGGAAAGGTCCTGTAAACTCCCTGATCTTTTCGCACCCTGGTGTGTGCATTGTGTTTTGTGCCGCTTGTCTTCCCCGACAGCGACGACAGCTACTACTGTCTTACTGCTACTGCTACCACTAATACCACGACGACGACTACTACTTATGATCATGTTGTTTTCCATGGCAAAACGCATCAGCGTACGCAAGAGCAGCGAAGGCACTGCGACTTCGAACATCTACCACAGGGTTCGGAATCATTACTATTGGTATACCACGAAACCTTATATTCTTAGACGTTTTCTGAGGCCAGCAATAATCCTTGTAGAACCCTGTCACAGAACCCTAAACCCCAAACCCTAACCCCTCAACCCTTAAAAGGGGCCCTGTTCCAGTTGTGAAGACCCTGTTGTCGTCGTGGCTGACAGGAGGGACCTGGCGGGAACCTTCCCCTATCAGGCCTCAAGTTTTTGAATTTAGGGCTTTGGGTTTTACATAGGGTTTTTAGGGACTATATAATTTGGGGCTTTAGGTTAGGGATTATAGAATTTAGGGCTTTCGGGTTCTGGGGTTTAGTGTTTGGGTTCTGGGGGTTCAGGGTTTAGGGTTTAGTATCTAGGGATTTGGGGTTCAATTTTTAGGGTTTGGGGGAGGGGGGGTGAAGTTTTAGGGATTACTGTAGGGTTCAGGTGGGTGCAATTTAGGGGGTTCAGGGTTTCGGGTGCACTTTTGGTTGAGTTGCGGAAGGTTTCGGCCCTGGTGGGGCTCGGAGTCTAGAAGGCCCTAAACCCTTACCCCTAAACATTGCGGATTTACGGGCAGCTTTCTTGTCGTTTCGGCCTTGTAGGGTTCGCACGGGATTCGGGAAGGTTGTGAGCCGATGGACCGACAGAGAGATGGTTTGGGCGTGGAAGCCCCTGCCATGATTACTCCAAGACTACCCTCGTAAGGGTGCTCTCGTAAGAATGAGTATAGTACTGGTGAGTGCTTACGACCGTCGCAGCAACAGGTAGAGTTCAAAACCATTGCAGTAGCACCAGCACCAGCACCAGCAGCAGCATCTGTAACAGTAGAGTCGTGGTAGTAGGAAGAGGAGCAGTAGCGGTAGCAGCTGCAGCGCTGATAGCAGCAGCCGAAGTAGTAAATGTAATAGGAGTAGCAGCAGTAGCCGAGTTGTAGTCGTTGTGGTCGTCGTGGTCGTCGTCGTCGTGGGAGTAGTAGTAGTAGTCGTCGTCGTCGTCGTCGTCGTTGTACTCGTAGTCGCACTCGTATGAGTCGTAGCCGTCGTCGTAGTAGTCATAGAAATAGAGGTGATGAGAATCTGCACTGATGCCCTACGCTGCCGCGCGAACGCCAACCTCAAGCTCCTCAATCCTTACCTTTCCAAGCCTGCGTCCTATATCTGAAATATAAACGCCTCCAGGACCTCAATTCTACATTATCCTTCTGACCCCTTCATCCCAACCAGCACATCCTCCGCCCCTGGATACTGAACCCAAGACATCGACAAGCCCCATGATATGCAACCCTTACCTTCTGAAGCCCTTAAAACGCTTTATCTCCCAAAAGTAAGCTTACACCTCACCATGTTAAGATCTAAACTCTCAACCTGCAGCTACAAAAATTTCACTCAGGCGGCGCCCTCGGCTTCGGTTTGGGTTGGACGAAACAGGCTCCTTCGGGTTCCAAGCTTCGATTGTTTTCTCCACATAGAAGATGTTTAGGAGTTCAGGGGTTTGAGTCTTTAGGAGTTTGGGTTTACAGCTTTAGGGCTTCAGTGCTTTTAGGGTTTACAGGCTTTCAGTGGGTTTTGTTGTTCAGGTTTTTTTTGTTTGGAGGTCGTGTCCAGCTCCCGAAATCGTGCTCCTGACACAGGGCTGTGAGCCTTCTGGCCCTCTCTTCAAAAGATTAGGGTCTGGGGTTTAGGGTTGTGCTGTCCTTCGCACATCTTTCGGTGGCCCTGAAAGCTAAGCCGTTTCGCCACGATGCAGTGCGTGTTCCGGGAGCTTGCAGAAGTGCATCTAGAAAGGTCCTTGGGTTTGTCGGGCCTCGACTGCTAGTAACAGTTTAGGGTTTAGGGTTTTACGGTTTAGAGTTTAGGGTTTTATTTAGGGGTTTAGGGTTTGGGGGTTTAGGGTTTGTGCTAGATGCTCCTCCACTGTTTGGGGTCCACGCGGACATAGCCCGGAGCCATCAGCAAATCCGGTAAAAAAGGTTTCCTGCTCTCATCGGCTGTGGTTTCTTCTCTAACCCTACCCGAGGGTGGCTCCGTTTTCTGGCTTTAGGAGTCATCGGGGTTTGGTTTTTTTCAGGGATCAGGGTTTGGGGAGGCTCGGGTTTGGGCGCAGTTCCCGAATTCCCAATCATCTCAATGCAACAATGCAGGACGTCAAGATCTCCGCCAACATGTCCGGCAGTTGGGGCGCTCTGGTGCGTGGGGAGGCGCCCGGACCACTCGCCGGATGTGGCGCTTGTTCAGGTTGAAGGTTCTACGGTAGATGATATAAAGCCTGCATTACCTTAAGGACCCTAAACTACGGGAATTACGGTATATTCCTTATTGTGGGTCATGCAGGATTTGTATCATCAACCGTAGCAAGCCCTTCCTTTGGGCTTCTGATATCCAAGGCCCAGTCAGTCTGTGCCGGGCCCTAGGACGCAAATCCAAAAGCCTAAACTCTAGCTAGGATGCCCAGTAGTACCCTTATTCCCTTTTTGTCGTCCTAGGTTCCTTATAAAGTTACCCAATACCAAAAAGAGAGGCCTTTTTGTTCTTAGGTTACTGGGTATCCTAGCTAGTATGCAGGGCAGAAGACGAAGAAGAAGAGGGGAGGGACTACAGCCCGATGGAGCCCTTCCAGAGCCCTTCTGAAACCCTAATCCCTGACAGAACCCTTCTAGAGCCCTTCTCAAACCTAAGAATCCGAACCCTTCTGACACCCTAGTCCGTCTTGGTTTGCAAAGCCCTCCTGAAACCTTAATCCCTTACACAGCCCTTGTAGGACCCTTCGGAAACCCCAATCCCACAAACAACTCTGATAGAGCGCTTTGGACCCGTACGGAGCCCGTGTTGAACTGTCTTATCCCTATAAACCCTATAGTCTATAGTCTATGCCCCTAAACTCAAAGCACACTACTAACCGCTGATAATACCTGAAGACTAATCCCTGAATCGCAAACCCGAAGCCCCTCGCAGGAGTTGCCCTCCTGGCCAACGTGGGACAGCGGTCAAATGACTCGCTTCGCCCTTGGCGTCCCCGACAATGCGGCTGAGATCTGTTATGGTTTAGGGTGTGTGTGTGTGTGTTTGTGTGTGTGTGTGAGTATTTTGGGTTCAGGGTTTTAGGCTTGTAGGGTTTGATGAACGCTGAAACTTCAGTTTGGAGGTTAGGGTTCAGGATTTCAGACTAGATTTATACTGGGCTTAGGCTGTTGAGGTTTGCAGGCTTGTAGGGTTCAGGGCTTATAAGGTTTATGTACATGTTTATGGGGTTGAGATTTATGGCCTCAGCGTTGACGCCTTGCACGCTTTAGACATAGGACATAGTGTTGAGGGTGTGATAGGCTTGCCGCCTAAAGCCCCAAGCCCTAAACCGCAAGCACTACCTAAACCTCAAAGGCTAAACCCCAAATCCCCAAAAACTCAACCCTAAAACTATACCCCCCCTGAACCCTAAACCCTGTACACCAAATCCCTAAAACAATCCCTAACTACTAACCTAGATGTTCGAAAGACGCTTGGGACCTTTCTGTCGAGGCTTCCGCTGCTTCTGCAGTGCCTTTCACCCCAAGTCTCCCCCCAAAGTATCATTCCTCTCTGTTTAGGGTTTTGAGTTTAGGGTTTAGGGGTTAGGGTTTAGGGATTAGGGGTTAGGGTTTAGGGTGATTAGGTCTTAGGATTTAACGCACCCAAACTTCCGAGTGTCAACGCATCTGACTTCTTCTTGAAGGCTCTGCAGCTTTGCAGGTACCTTGTTGGTAATTGCAGGGTCATGGGCATCCTACACAAAAGCCTAGCCTGGCGTCCCTACTCTATGTCCTTTAATCATTCCTTAATCCTTTAAGCATAAGCCCTGATAGAGCCCTGTAGAGACATACATGCATGCCTTTAGACTTGCCAGGTCCTATCCTTGAATCGCGAAACCCTAAATCCCTAAACCCCTGAACCCCCAAACCCAAAACGGCTACACACCTAAACCGCAAGCCGTGCGATGACCTTCAAGTTGTGCGTTCGCAGGTTGACATCATGCCTTAAACCCTAAACCCCAAAGCCCCCGAACCCTGAACCCTAAACTCATAGGGGCAAAAGGGGTTTTGGCCTATGGGGGTTTAGTAGGGATTAGGGTTCCAATAATAGGGTTCCTATGAAGGAATCCCTACCCCAAGAATCTTAAACCCCCCTTTTGGCCTCCCATCATAAACCCTGTTGGCTTCCTGCGCCCCTGATCCTCTGAGTTGGGTTCCCAGGTGGACATCATGCCCATGGAGAGCATGAGAGCGGACCACCACTGCGACTTCTTCGATGCTCTGAACCGAAACTTGGTTCTGGAATTAGACTTCCAGGGTGATATAGCGTCCTTGATGAGGAAATTTGCAGTTGCAATCATGGTATTAATATCAACATGATATGAACAATAATGGGGTTTTGTGGTCCGTTCTATCGCAGTAAGGACCCGGATTTCAGACTCCTGGCACCATTGGTTTTGAGTGGAAGACATGGTTTCTTTATAGTGAGGAGCCATTCCCGAATAAACCTTCAGGTTTTTTGGTGCCCAGCAAGTTCAGAACACGCAGGCAAGCTGATCAAGGACGTCAGCTGACGCTGCGCAAGGAAAGCCTGGGTTCAAAAAAAGGGTGTGGCTGAGGGTGCAGGTTTCACACCCCAAGACCCTAACGCTTGCTTCATTCCAAGCTTCCTTCTTCTTCCTTCAACTTGACGAAGGTCCTTGAAGAGGAGTTTCCACTGGGTCCCAAACCCTAACGCCCATTAGGGTTGTATAGGAGCTTTGATAGGGTGCTGCGAGAATCCGTCGTGATGTCGACCCGCTGCACGAGTTGTAGATTCATGTCGAGGCCTGTGTCATGGCAACCGGCTTTCCAGTATATCGGTCTAGAATAGAACAAGGGGAACATACGGATTTCTAACTCTTATGAAATTACTTCGTTCTTCAAACTCTCTCTCTCTCTCTCTCTCTTTTTTCTCTCTCTCTCTCTCTCTATATATATATAATTATAAATATTGACAAAAGGAACTTCAGTATCGACCCTTTCAGCCGGAGAACGCCCTTTACGCCAACCTTAAAACTCAAGCTCACGCCCTGCACGCACAGCGAAGTCCCAACATGTCACCGCCCTTGGATTGCGGAAACCTGGCTCAAAGCGCTGCTGCCTTTCGGCATTTTTGACCACCAGATTTCCGAGACCGTCAACATGATGATTTCGTTTTGAGATGCCGCTCCGTGGTATTTAGTCTTTGATTTTTTGGTACCTTCTGTTGGGGGGCTTCAGGACTTCAAGTTCCCAGGGCTTTTTGGCACAACGGTTTAGGGTTTAGGGTTCAGGACCTGCGGGTAGCTTGGGCCGAAGGAGACAGCAGCAAGCGCCATGGCCCTCTCCGTGCTCAGACCTCCGGCCCCCGAGCTCGTGGGAAGCTCGGGTTTTCTCAGGAAGTAGGGTTTAGGGTTTAGGGCTTAAGGGGTTTTGGGTTAAGGGGTTTTGGGTTTAGGGTTTCAGTCTACCTAGCGTAACCACTGTACCTCCGGAAAAGGGATATGACCCATTATGAGGACTCCAATTTTCGGAAGCTCCCTTTTCGATAGATAAAGCCGAAACTCTAAGCCCGGCACCCTATACCTTGAACCCTAGACCAGGGTGTTTAGAGGCCTCAATCTCCCTTTATAGTTAAGGAATATACTGAAAGAATAAATTATAGTAGGATCCCTAAATCATATAATATGATCTAAGGTAAAAATAGAAGTCAGAAAGTTAGAACATCATTATCGTCATGCTTTCAAAGCGAAACATAGTGGATCTCAGAGCCAAACATCCTATGTCCATGTTCCAACTTTATACAACTCATTATATATTCAATATCCCTTTATAGTTCAGGAACATACCTTTAAAAATCTTATAGTGGGATCCCTAGTACGATTTAAGGTATACTCCTTATTTCAGGGATATTGGGGTCTCCGGGGTTTGGAGCGGCTCAGGCGCCATCGCTGCCGGCGAGGCACGCGCGGCGAAGCGGGCCTCAACAGGACAGAGCCGTCGGCCTTGCGGTTTGGGCTTTAGGGTTTAGGGTGTAGGGGTTTAGGGTGTAGGGGTTTAGGGTTTAGGGTTTAGGGGTTTAGGGTTTAGGGTTTAGGGGTTTAGGGTTTAGGGTTTAGAGTTTAGGGTTTGGGCTTTGGGGCTTCCTTGGGGTTTGGGCTTTACTTGGGGGTTCAGGGGACTTAGTAAGTAGTTAGTAAGTAGACTTATAAGTATCCGAAAAGGGACCCTAATTGGGGTTATGGTACTTATAAGTCCCTAAGATAACCCGTTACTAAGTCCCCCGGCCCTCCAAGTAGGGTTCCCCGGCCCTCCAAGTAGGGTTTTGGGTTTAGGGGTTGTGGCTTTAGGGTTTTGGGTTTAGGGTATTGGGGGTTTGGGCTTAGGGTTGTTTAGGGTTTAGGGGTTTTGGCTTTAGGGTATTGGGTTTAGGGTTGTTTAGGGTTTAGGGGTTTTGGCTTGGGTTTTGGGTTTAGGGTTTTAGGGTTTGGGCTTTAGGGTTTGGGTGTGGAGTTTGCTTTCTGAGGGGTCCAGCTGTGAGGAATCGGGTGTAGGGTTTGGAGTTTGGGACGTTGAGTTTTGGGTTCAGCAGGGGCAGAGGCGTCTGCAGGTTATGTCCATCAATCCACGGGAGGTTTCGAATCTCAAAAGCCCCAACTTTGCCTAGACAACCTAAGTCCTAGTCTTGAGAGCCCGCAAACACTGCAAGTTCCGGCAGAACAAACAAGCAAGACACAGAACTGCTGGCTGTGGGAGGTGCTTTGCTTGATGTATGTGTTTGGTGTGTTTCCTCATTGTTTTTTGTTTGCATGTTCTTTTTTGCTCTTTCATGCGTGTCTTCTTTTTGGGTTGTTAGTTTTTACCAGATACTTTTAAAATTTTCTTTGGGAAACAAACACAACAACTAAAGTACAACGAACAACGAGCCTGAGGGGCGGGCGCTTTGTTTGTAATTATTGTTATCCCAGAGGGTCCATCTATACTACCATTACGGAATTAGGTCCCAAAAGACCATCCCTGTTGTGGTGTTTGGGACCTACTTCCATAGTAGTAGTGTATATGGACCCTCTTGGTATGTTGCTTTTGTGTTTTGGTTGTTGTTTTTGTTTCGCTCTTCCCTTAATCCTAGTCCTTGGCCTCAGGGTTTCAAGCCGCACACCGCGCAGCTCCTCGAGTTTAGGGTTTAGGGTTAGGAATCTGCATACCGCATATTAGAGAAAGTGAAAAGACAGCATTGCTGATTCTTCGGGCCCCTTTATGGCGTTTAGGGTTGAAGGAAGGTGTTCGCAGAGATTCGGAGTAGTTGCCATAATGCTAGGGAATCCCGAGCCCAACTAAACCTTACTCCCTAATGTAGGAACCTGATTAAGAAACCCTGGGCCTAGAACCCCAAAATAGTAGGAACCATATCAAGAACCCTGATAAAGGCCCAAGGTTTCTTAATCAGGTTCCTACATTACACCTCAAGCCTTCAACCCTAAACCCTAAACCCTAAACCCTAAACTATAGTAACCTTATTATGGATCCCTTATAGTAACCCCTATAGACCCCTTTAAAGGAACCCTAAGAACCTAAACCCGGATTCGGGTTTAGGCCTTGGACCTTCATTGCATGACTCCTGTGGCGGACAGGGGCTTTCAGAGCGATCTCCGGGGGTCTATGCAGGTCGGCCCGGTGTTTGGGGGATACAGTACCTGGACCCCAAAAGTATGTAGAATGATAGCCTTTATTAGGTTTTGGGCCATTCTTTTACCTACTTTTGGGGGTCTAGGTAGGTATGTATCTATGTATGTATTGCGGGGGCTTCAGAACCGCATGTGGCTTGCAAATAGGTTGTACTGCGAGCTTCGAACCATGGGGTGTGGCTTTTGGGAGTTTTTAGGATTTAGACTTCTTGATCCTGGACAAGGATCGAAAATCTCCAACTTGTAGGAGTAATTAGGGTGAAGGTTGGGTTCCCCAAGCTTCTAGAACTCACATTTTGCCTGAATGGTTTGCTGATTGTTGTTTTTAAATGTCGGGCTTAGGAGTCCAGGGTGTTGGGAAAGTATGTAAGGAGGGTCAACAATGTGAAGATCTACGTTGTGTGGCCTGCCTATACGTGATTCAATCACTGATGGTCACCTCACCTTCACTGCGGCGGTGTGGAATCTCCCCGTTCGATATGCTCCAGCTGCTGGTGTACCTGCGATATTGCTACACGTCTGTGGCAGGGACGCAGTCGCTGGTGGTCTCAACAGCTGGTGGGAACAAAACATGAATGCCGTCGTACACGGTCAGGCTTACTGGTTTACGGGGATGCCCTTACTGAAAAGAGGAGGTAAGAACAGTTGCTCTGTTCTACCAACACTGGCCGCAATTGAGTGCACAATATGATGACAATGCTGGTGCGCCATACACCTTCACTGGCAACAAATGAACGGTAGACGATGCAGGGTTCAGAGATGCGGTTGAATCCGGGGATTCACATGAGAGAGTTCTAAATGTCTTCTATGTACATTTTCACTTCTACATATATATATATATGTGCATATATGTGTATATATAGATATTATATGTACATATACATATGCATACAACTACATATATCTTGCATTCGCATAGTTTCTATGCGTGTGTATACAGACATGTATTTACATGGACCGCTTCTCAAAGTAGCTGCCAGCAAGGGGTCATCGGATGTGATGCTGTCAGCGTGTTCAACGTGTTTTTGCACATTCCGATTTCCCAGTATTGACAAGCCCACTCTGTTAATAAGGACTATAATAGGGGAAGCCATTGAAAGCAGAGGGCTTTTTGTAATCAGTGGTTTACCTTAGGGGGCCGAGGGGAAGGGTCTGACAAAACTCGAGACGACCCTTGTAGCACCACATAATACAGATGCCTGAGAAGATACGACTTCTAACATGATACTTTAGGCCGCTAGGGTTTCTTCTCAAAACATCGAAGGAAATATGCCCAATAACCCTATTTGCAAGTTTAAGGCCTTTGAGAGGATCTAGAAGATTTTAAATGCTTGTAAGACCGGTACCTAAACCCGACGCCCTCAAGCCTAAACCCTAAGGCCTTAAGCCCTAAAGGCTAAGCCCTAAAGCCTAAGGCCCTAAACCCTAAACTCTTATAGAACCCTTAAATGAACCCTTATGTATCCCTTACAGGAACCCCTAAACGAACCCTTAAAGGAACCCTTAAAGGGGAACCCTTAAGGGAACCAACCCTTAAGGGAACCCTTGAAGGAAACCCTTAAGGAACCCTTAAAGGGACCCT